TGAAATATAATATATTGTACTTGAAATACTTAAAATTTGTAAATAATATTAAAAATATTTTAAAACACATAATTTTTTTAAACGTTAGTCAAATAACAATTCTATTGTTAATTCTATTGTTTTATAACACATTAATTATAGAAATTTTTATGTGTATGTGTGTATTAGCAATTATTAAGATAATTATATATTATCTTTAAATATTATATAATGATATTATATATTATCAATAACTATTTTGAGTATTTTTTCTGCATTTATAAATATTAAAATATTTTCAAATCTGATGATGTAAGTCATCAAAAGTTACTTTTATTGAAATATATAACGCAATCCAATAATGTGTGCAAACTCAATAATATAAAGCATAGGTCTTAATGTAATTGTACCGAAGTGTGAATTACATTGTACCTATATGCATTGAAAATTTATAAATAATGATAATAAAATAATTGAATACATGATTACATTACATTCCTACGTACAAAAAATTTTCTAGTCTTATTTCTTTATTATTTTATATAAAAATCTTTTTATATAAAAATATTAAAAATTATTATCATAGTAATTATTAGAGTAATAATAATGGTATGATTTATATTAATAATTAGAAAATGTAGAAGAAAAATATAAATAATACATAGATATAATAATGAATGATATCATGTAAAATGTACTAGAGATGATCTATGAGCATTGAAAATACATAATTCTGTAGAAATTTCACATAAATTTAATTATTATATTATACATATAGATTCTGTATATATGTGTATGTTATATAAAAGGAAACAATAGAAAAATCTCTATTGATTAATTCTCTACATTAAAGTTAAGATATTTTTATTGATTTGTATTCATCTTATTTTTATTATTTTATAAAAATTTTAGTTTTATAACATAATTTTCTAAGGTGGAATAAATATTAAAGATAAATTACAAAATTTCACATAAAATAAAATTTGAATTGTTTAGGGGCACTTACTTAGGAAATATACTTTGTTGTTGTTTCCTATTAATTAATTAATTTAATATATAATAAATAATTATTAAATTTTGTATATTATTGTAAATTGAAATAATAATTGAACTATTATTGTATAATAATTTGATTATTGTAAAAGAAATAATATATTATTATTCAAATTGATTAACATGTTAAAGGCATACGTAAAAATTTAAAGTAAAACGTAAAAAAGCATACTATTATTTACAGTTTAAACTGAGTTAACTATAACCATCTAATAATATATTAATATATATATAAGTTTAGCTGTGCTTTTAATATAAAACATTCTAATATTAAATTCTCTTTTAATTACTTTATATTTCAGTTCAGTGGACAAAATAGTATAAATATTATTTATAAATAAAAATAAAATAATATAAAGACATAAATACGAATGTGCTTGTAGTTATGTTCTATTTCATTCTTATAAATATCCACATTTTTCTCGGTCTTCCTATCTCCTTCCAACTTTATCCAAGTCTATATATTTTCAAAATACCCCTTAACCGACTATCCTCTTCCCTTCATATGGGAAGCTCTGTTTTTCTTGTCCTTGCATTGTCTATCCTTTTTTACGGGATATTATCCCATTCTTGCAGTGTTCTTTATCTCACTTTTCACATTTGATGCGCACGCAGTCAGTGATATACTCATGCATGCGCGTTAGTACACGTGCATGACTACGTATAACGTTCGTTATCGTTCCAAGCGATTTTGAAGGACCAGCAGCTTGACGGCCTATATTTGCTAAACTAGCATGTGTAGGTATACGTGTTCGATCACCTAAAGTTTTGGCACGTGAATATTTAGAGAGCAAAAACCAATTTTGGTAAAAAATCTTACAGGAAATAAATAAAACAAGTCTTAAAATAAAATCTTTATTTAATAAAATATTTGAAGAGCCCATATAATAATGATGGCTTTATTAATAATTACAAGATAAATTGTTTCACGATGTAGTAAAATTCATCTTATAAATTAAATTTATATAATTTGATAGTGATAAACATAATTATTATAAAGGAATTTTCTAAAATACTTTTAAATTAACTAAGATCAATATCCTAACCAGTTAATTATATAATGATCTAAGATGTAATTCTGATAATATTTCAGTATGTATGTAATAATAAAATCATTTTTTATAACACCGTTTAATCATAACTGTATATCCTTTTCATAAATTATGGATAGGATTAGAGACTGTGAGTATTAAATTAGATGAATTTCTTGAAAATCATTCACTATATCCTAATAAATTATTATATACAGCAAAATTTTAAGATATTTTAACAGTACAACATTGATTCATTGAATTCAACAAATTAATAAATAGTTCTTTAAATATTTGCGATAAAATTCATACATAATATACAAAGTCACAGTCAAGAAATATTTATAAACCATATTTGTATATACAAATACAAAAAAAGTAATGATTTTATGACTTATCATCTTTATATAAAACTTATATGAAAATAAATTCCTTCTATATAAAATTTTTTATGAACTAATAAATTTATGGCAAAAAATATTAAGTATACAAATATTCACTTATAAGTATGAAACAATTCATTCTATACTGATATTAATGAAAAGATTATTACTAAACAATATAATCATATGTATAAAATAAAAATTTCCTTTATTATTACTACTTGTTTCACGAAAATAATATAGGATATAATTTCAATTTCAATTGTATTATTAAAATTAAAGGTCCTGTGATAAAAGAACTACTCTTTAAAATTAACATATCACGATGTCTTTTCCATTTTTCATATCTAATTTCAAATCAATGTCAAGGTAATTGAGAATAGAGTTTAATCGTGATCTCCCTCTGTCTTTTCCTTCTTTCATAACTATATGTTTCCTATAAGTCAAACTTCACATGTCTATTCTTCATTACGTTGTTATTAAAATTTCTCTGAAATATTTCATATATATTAAATGACTAATTTTTTTTATCTATTTTATGTTTCTATAAAATATTGAATTAAAATTGTCTTAAAAAAAACAATTTCAATATATTTTAATTAAAAAGATCTTAATAAATTTAAATTTGCAAGATATTATAGTATAAAAAATTTAAGGAAAACCTTATTCCTTTAATGTAGTCATTTAATATAAATTCCATTAATGTATATGTAAAAAATCAAGAATCATATATATCAAATTAATCAATATATATATATATATATATATATATATATATATATATATATCAAATATATCAACAATCAATATATATTAAAAATCAAGAGATTCTACTCATAATTTTTCTTGTAAAATACAATAATTGAAATTATAATTTCGATGCTATTAAATTTCATTTTATACATTCAAGTTTAAGAAAGGTGAAAAATATAAAATGTAATATACAAATTATAGATGTATCATAGATATAGATTATAAATTATAAAATAATTTGTAAATAATTTAATTCAATTCAATTCAATACAAGGTAATGAATAGTTATTTAATATATATTCAAATTTATGTAGAATACGTTTTACAAAATGAATATTCTTTGATTACAATTTAGTGGTTAATGTGGCAGTAGTCATCATAATATTGGAATTAATGTAAATGTCCTTACTTATTAAATTTAAGAAAAATATTTTCCAAGATATTTTTAATTAGAAAAATTAAATTGCTTGCGAATACAGCCGATTTTAACGTATTTAATATTGAAAAAGAGTTTTAAATAAACATGTATCATAGAAGAATTTGTTATATACAGGTCTATATAATATGACAAAATTTATCATGTTATTTTACATGTATTTATTCAATGATTTTGTATATATAATTTTCATAAAATTTCTAATTAACTTATTTTTATTAAAATATTTTTTTATTAAATTTTGTACATATTATTCTAAGAAACTATAATACAAATTTCATATAGATTTATACTTATTTTACAGATATCTAGATTATCTACTTACCTACAGTGGTTAATTATCATGACGGTGTAATAATACCCCATTTAATCATTAATTAATAAAATAGAACTTCTCATTACCGATAATTTATAAATCTAAATATATGTGAAATGTATAAAAACTATTCTATTTATATATTATATATTAAGTATATCGATGTATTAAAAACTAAAATATTTCCCAAAATAATTTTTAAAATAATGAACATTTTAAAAATTAATAAATAATACATAACTAATAAATATCAATTTATTACATTATCTTTTAATATTTAAAATATAAATGTGATTTCAACGTATAATACAATCTTGTACATTATATTTTGTACCAAAAAACAAAAACACCAATATATGAAAGCCGAATTGTTTTCGCAGAATTTTTACATTTTCTAATTTTATTGTTTATTACAACAATAAATTAAAATTTTTTTTTGTATTTTATTATTATAAATCTTTTTATTACTTTATAGTGTTAAATATTTTTTTATTATTCAATATTTGTAAACTATAATCTTTATCTAATTATTATTTTTTTTTCTATATTTTATATTTTACATTAATACGGTTTATTTTTAGTACTTGTAGTGTCTAATTAATATAAATTGTAAAATGTAATAAAATGTTGTTAGTGTGGACTCCATTTAAAATACGTAAAATTTAATTTAAACAAATTAAATTTACTTACCTGACAACTCACAAAAATACTGTATAAATACTTATATAATTGTATTAGTTTTCATTAATATTTATTTTCTTGAAACCGAATTAGTGTCATTTGCATATAAACAATTAAATAAAACCAAATTAATTTAATTACTATCTACTAGCTAAGTCATATACAGATATAATTATATTTATTATTTAATAAATATTGAAACGTATAATAAGTTAAATTGTACATTATTGAAAATATCCTTGATTGATTTTAAATTAAATTTATAATCAATCATATAGCACTGAAAATTTATGGAATGTATTTTGAAAATGTTTGTACACCAAAATATTTCTGTTAATTTAAGATACATTTTAATTAACTAATGCAGAAAAATAAACAATAATCGTAGACAATTAACTATTATGCTCGTACTGTTTCCTTCAGATTGAAAACTCAATCCACTATGCTTTGACGACGATTGTGGCGTACGTGTTTTCGTCTCTTTAAACACGTTGTACAACATTTTTCACGAACTATTGATGAAGAATCGCACATTCGTCGATATGCTGAACATATCCAAGATGGATTGATACTATCCTTGCAACCTGAAATACATATATATGCATTCATAAATTTTGGAAAATATTATTTTTGCCTATTTTTTTTTTTCAATTATTAAAACTTTGATAAATAACATTAAAACTTACTGCCAAAATTTTTCAGCTCCAAATTACAATAATAATTATTCCGTAATTATGTCATTAAACAGTTAATATTAAATAATTAATTATTAATAACTTGCCTGCTATAAATATATATGAATACATGATGTAACAAATATTGACTTGTTGATATTTTATATTATAGATATTTTAAAATTTTTTTTATCAATAAAAATTTGAAAGAAGGAAATTTACAAAAATATTTATATACTTATGAGAAATTGTTAATATAAGCACACACACGCGCGCAAACACTATCACACACACACACACACACACACACACACACACACACACACACACACACATGCGCACATATTGTACTTGTGACTTTTATCATTATATATTTAGTTAAATATATTATGGTTCATTATTGAAACTTATTTATTTAATTTTCTATCTTTTGTTGATAATCATTATAACTATTTATTTATGTCAATATATAAAAAACTTTTAAAATCATTCGATTTTAAAATACTTAAGAAAATGTGAGATTGTGAATATTGGGAAATATTAAAAATGTTTTATAATTATATACAAATTACATGTAGTTCCTGGATTCGAAAACGTTCGTTATATTAAAAAATATTTACTTCTCAAGTGATTTTAATCAAGTTGTTACATAAAGTAGTACAATAGTGGATACAATATATGGGAAATCCAGAAATCCGTATAAAAATAAATCATAATATTAAATATATAAGTAAATTCCAATAGCTACACTATCGTTAGACTTAATTAACAACCACATCTCAATGAATCATTTAAACTCTTTCATTTTTAATTAAAGTATCACAAAATTTACCAAGTCTCTCCTCGGCGCAAGACTTCTTATGATGGCATCGTCGAACTTCAAGAGGTTTTTTTATGTGATTACAGTCTGTGGATGGTAAGTTATTTTGCCTATCGTAGCAAGTAACATTGCGATGCTTATATCCAGATTTGATACTACAGGTTGCATTACAGGAACTCCACTTATCTGTAACATATTCTATTCTATTAGATATAATAGAAATATAGAAAATTCACAAATTTCCGTTACTATACTGTCGTATTATTTCTGCATAATCATAATTGATTGCAATTAACACGATGACATCATAGTTTATTTCAAATCTATACATTTCTTTTTTTTTTCGTTTATAAATATATAACTAATATATTATAAGTAATGTCTATTAATTAGTATATTATATTAGTATGTTATAAATTCTTTTATAATATTTTTGCATAAATTAATTTTTTTCCAAATGTACACATTTATAAATGTGAATAAAGAAATTCATGAAAACTTAAATAGAGTTTAAGTCACTCGAGAAACGCATTTGTAGTTTCTCAATTTTCGTAACTGTTGCTTTCCCAATTGAACTACTTACTTACCTTTTCGATTCTTTTTTAACCAAATTGAAATAAAATATCTGATATGTCATAAAGTCCAAATTTATTACTTTTATCCATTTAATTTTTTATAAAGAAATTAGTACCTACAGTGGTGTTAAGTTCAATTACAATTTCAGACACTTCTAATCGTAATTTAACATCAATTTTGGCGTAACATACATAAGCCACATTGTAAATTCATATTTTTTAATTCATTTAATCATAAAACTATGCTATTACAGTGTTGAGAGTAATTTTATAAAATAATTTCATTTTATAAAAACATGCGCATGTATTTTAATAAGAATGATAAAGATTAAGAATGAAAAGAAAAAACCGTGAAGTTTTCGAATTATACATTCGCACTACCATTTTATCGTGATATTGGTTTATCTGATTTCACGAAACACTAAATTTTATAGGTCTCCATTACTACAATCTTATTTTATACATTCTAGACGTAGCAATCGTATATAAATGGATCAACCGAAATAATTCATGAAAAAATATAATGTAAGGATCATCAAGGACCGTGTTTTTAGTAGTTCCGACGCGTGCTGAACTAATGATCATTAGCTTCTTGATTTTCTTTCCTCTAAATCGATTCTAAATTACAATGTTAATTTATTGATATACGGAAACTGAATTAATTTATCACATAACCACAACAGAAATAGATTTCACTGAAGTACGTAACACCTTTCATAGGAACTTACGATAAATTACTTACAACAATCTTTTCTTTCATTTATAATTATTAAACAAATATAAAAACAGTAATATTTTTCAGCTAGTTCATAACAAAATTTTACTGGATCTAAAATATAGTACATAAATACGATGGTGTTAGTGAAAATAGAATAACATATTAACAATAATCTAATCTTTCGATTTATTTCATTAACGATTATTGAAAGCGTAAATGAGAAATAACAAATAAAATAGTATTTTATTATTTATCTATAGATAGTGTAAAAGTTTCGCACACTCAAAGTTGTGGTAAAAAATTTATAATTTTGCTACTAGAATTTTAATTTATAATTTAAATACAGTGTTTTTGATTATATGATTGAAATGATAGTAAAAACTCATTTTTTACAAAATTATAATAATTGTAATTTAAAAGAAGAAGCAATAAATTAGAGTTTTTAAAATAAATTTATGCACTACTATTATAAATAAATGTAAATGGAAGTTTTATAAAAAATATTAAAGAAATTAAAATAAGAAATTCTTGATGATATTTATTAATGCTTAGTTAACTGAAACAATGTAAATATTTTTAAACGATACTTATTATCGATTTAAACGATGATATTATATTTGTTATCATCATTAGTAAATCCTTAGTACATCATTAGTACATTATTAGTAAAATCATTAGTACATTGGAAAAATTATTATTAATAATAATAATAATAATAATAATAATAATAATAATAATTAATTAATTAATAATCAAGAAGAGTGATGAGAAGTCATTTGTCTGTACGTCTCATTATCTCTACAAACTACAGATATATAATAGGTTGCAGCTCTAAGGAAATTAATATTATTTCTTTGGGAAAGGTAATTTAATGAGTAATATCTTATTTTAACGTGAAATTTTGTGATAATAAGATACACGTATTGTACAACGATACATATGTAATCAAAATGATAAAATGCGTTATAAAAAGTGATAAAAATATAACAAATTGAAACTTATTACATACAATTGTCATTATAATCATTATTATTATTATTATTATTATTATTATTATTATTATTATTATTATTATTATTATTATTATTACCCTTTGAATATAAAAATGCCTAAACACCTGGATTATTTGAATACTTAGTGTTTGAAATGAAATATAAACTGTACATATCAATTCACAAATGATAATATTACCATATAAGACGAGAAGCATTATAATTATAAAATACAATGTAAGATACGATTTATACGTAATTTATATCGACATTTGCTCTAAATTTTCTCTATCTAATAACACTAATATAATTATTTTTTCATTTCGTATATGAAAAATCTTAAAATTGTTAAATTATTTGTTGCATGTACAATTTATTTTCATATTAATTTATTTTCACATTGTATGTGAAAATCTAATTCAACATAATCTAAGATTTTGACAATAGAATTGGGAAGCGCGAAAATAATAAATATAAAAGAATATAATAATCAGGGTACTACAACCATAGTCCATGAAATTGCGTCTCATCTAGGAAATTCCTGAAAATTACCTGAAAATTCTTAGAGCCGCAGCATATATATCCTTTACGGATTCTTCATGATAATAGATTTGATAAATACGCACCAGTAGCCCACTTGCCGGTCCTGCACACTTCCACCTCCAGAGGTTTACTATCCATATTGCACGTCCGCGGCTCCCTCGTCCCTGAACAGGATACCTTCCTCGTCCGTTTGCCAGCTAAACAGTGGCTCCACTTGGACACTTGCCATTTAGGATTGGCGTTATACAACGAGCTTTCTCCTGTATTATCCACGTCAACCACGTTGTCGAATTCAAGAATCTCTGGCTCGATCTCAGTGCTCCCCAAGCCATCCATAGTCGTCGAACCGACGCCACCAGCTTCTCGCTCGTACGGACTGATGTTGTAGAAGGCGCTATTTTTCTCATCGGCGTAGACGATCAGAGGTATCTCACTGCTCGTCGCCTCGCAGATGGGCAGCTCCGGGCAGGATTCGACCTCTTCGGGTCGTGAGTTCTTGTCGCACTCCTGATCTGGCAACGCGAGCTCTATCTGGTCTTCTCTCGTACTCGCCGAAACACACATGACCGAGCGCTTGCGAAGCGCTCCATCGCCACAACTTATAGGACACGTTTGCCACGGACCCACCCACCATCTGCGAAAAAAATGTTTCCAGACTCTCTGTCACTTGCTCTCTTGATTATTTCATTCAACTGTATTTTAATGGCCTGCTTCAAAATATAATTACGATGAAAATTATACAATCGATGAACGCGTTTTTCGCCCGCCTATGAATGTATGAATATTAAATTAGCACCTCTAGGCCTTATTTAAGAGACAATCATTCGTTATAGAATTAATATTCGTATTTTTAATTTGAAATAGGCACAGAGTTACATTTTGTTCCTGTGCATTATTGCACTTTACTTATGTTATACAATAATGAAAAAATCTATTTAAGCTTATTGAACTTTCAAATTTATTGTAAGAACGCTTTCGATTAAAAAATATTTCAAACTAAATGACAAAGTTATGATTTTGATCTTTTCAAAACATTTTCATTTTGTTTTATTCAAATAAAATGGTAAAGTATTAGACAAGTAATAAATAGATTATTTATATATTTATTTATATCTAAATTATATTTATATTAGATTGTAGACTTATATTTTGTTTAAAAGATATTAAACAAGTGACAGATGCATCAATAACAATTTAATTATCAAAGTCAAACTTTGCGATTATATAAAAACATGTCAAAAACTCAATTTGAAATTCTAGAATAATATAAATAATTAATTAAATGCATTAAAAAGAGAACATTGAAAACATAGATAAATATTAAATAATGTTAATTTTATTTAGTTTTAAATTAAAATAATTAATTATGTTGACATATTTTTTGCCAATTTCATTTGGTGGTATAAACATTATATTTGAGTTCAGTATGCAGTATAGTATAAAAATATTTTTATCTTTTATTTATTAATAAATTTATTTTTAGAATTAGAATAACATTAAGAAATATATTATTTGTTTTTTACAAAATGATTTTCTATATTTTTTCTAATTTACGATTAATGTTATCAACTTCTAAAACTTGAATATTATATATATATATATATAGAATTAATTATATTTTTAAAATACTAATCATTGTATAATATTCCTGTTAATTGAATTTTTTAAGAGTAAAAATACTATAAACGTCTTTATGCGAAAATGTTTGATAATTCAAAGTTCTTCCTTACACTAGTATCGATACTTACATTTTTGTTTTGCAGTTCGAATGTTAAAAAAGTACTCATTTCATAGAAATTTTTATTTATAATTTAGCTTTATGTCAATTTGTATAGAAATTATATATATGTATATATATAAATATATATGAATATGCATATATTGTAGATGATGCTGATAGTCACCTAGCTGGGCAAGGTTTGGTGTTACACTCGCGAGTAGTGAAATCGGGTTTGGTTAAGCCATTGCAGAACTTTTCTTCGACAACGCCGCTTTTACTCTCATGGCAAAGCGAGTGAGAAATCTGTGTACCTCCACCACAAGTTACCGTACACATGGACCAGTCAGAGTACATCCATGAGTACTCCGGAGCTCGATAAGCATCCTTTTTTGGCACTGTGTACTCGTAGCGCAAACCGAAATTTCGATAATGACCACGATGAATTAGCTATGAAATTTAACAAAGATACATTTTAATAACTAATAAAATATAGATGAATAAAATCATTTTGAATATTTTCTATTCTTACAAAATAAATGTACTTTATATCAATTTTGCATTTATTTATGCACACTATTTACACACTGTTTTAAATTAATGTTTTAAATTACTAATTTTTCTAATGCAATAATAATGATTAAACGAAGTTTTACTCTTATAAATATTTATTCAACATAAATCATTTATTTTGCAAAAAATAATTTTGCAAAATTCAAATGACATGTTCAAATTATTGAATATAATTGCTGAACTACATTCAATTTCTTTACTTGAATATGTTTAAAAAAATTTATAGAGGTATATTCAGATATACATTGAGATTTTTATTGAGATTTATTTAAATAAAAATAATTTATTAAAATAAAAATAAGTCATATTTTGCTTTGATTGTAATTGCTTAAAGATAAAGTACAACAAAATGCGATTGTAAACATCTTTCAAATGAATATATTAACGAAAACGAATAAAAAAATGTAAGGAAATTAGAAAATGAATCAAGATCTCTTACTGTAATTTAATACACTCTATATAATTGTTAATGGTTATTAAAAATATTTACATTAAATATAAAAAATTAATCCATAACGTTCTCTATACAGTTTTCCAAATATATCTGAAAACATAACGTAACTATTAATTTGGATTCTTCTACAGAACAAATATTATTTCTCAAAAATAAATAATGTTTCATTTATTTCTAATAAAACTTTATCTGTATTTATTGTTCTTTGATTTAAACATCTTAAGATTATGGATCTTAAGACATTTTATATGACAATAAGATGTATTAGAAGCCCATTATTTCTCAAAAAAAAAAACGTGTAACTATATAGATTTATCATTATCTATTAATTAAGCATAAAACTTTTTTTTTTATACACAGCAAAAACTCAGGTTATAATACAAATATTAATGTTGCATAATTTTGTTACTGTACGAAAATTCATAGAAATATGATTCTACAAAATATGAACGATATGATTAGGTAGAGATACATATTGAAAGTAAAAAGAAATATTATTATGTTTTATGTGAAATTGAAAATATCGTCGTTGTTTAGTCTTTTAACTTAATACACATATTCATGATATTAAGATACAAAATCTAGACATTTTCTTACTTAATGATGATTACAAATTATTCATCTTCATATAATCTTAATATTAACATAATATAAATAATAAAAAATTCATTAAGAAATAATTAAGCAATGTATATTAAAAATATTCATTTATAAACTATCTATTAATTATTTTCCAATAATTCTATATTGTATCCCTCATTCCACTTGTAAAAACATTACACAAATATAATTTTGTTCATACATATTACTAGAGCAAGGAATACAAATATTGAAATAGCAAGTTGTAAGAGTGCAAATTGAGTAAAAGATTTATCAAAACTGACAATTGAAATATCATACTAATCACTGTCTCGTTCTATATAATATAAAAGTTATATATATATATATATAATTTAGGATTCTCTTTATGTTATATAAATTTAAACCACATAATTACATTTTATATTCCATATTTATAATAAAATTAGCGTAAGAAGGCAAATAAGTAATGTTTTCGAAACAAACATCATTAATAATGACAGATTAAATAATTGAACGATAAATTATTCATCCAATCCAGCTATTTATGTTGTAACAAATATATGAAACGGTCCCAAGAATACTGTGACATTAAAAATATGGCAATGCTATTCGAAAGAGTTATTCAAGTGAAAATAAAAGTAAAAAGATCTTCCGTGAAACGAAATCGAATAACTACATCAAACACGAAGAAGAAAAAATGTCAACCACGTGTCGTCTCTGGTTTCAGCTGCATATTTTCGTCGCATCAATTCATTAGATATTCAAAGAATGTTTTCACGGAAACAGATTATGATCCTAAGAAACAGAATAAATATCTCAATGAATTAATATTTTATGAAACTTTAAGATAAGTAACTGAATTATACTATAATGTGATTGTACTGCATTAATAAAATTTTATAAAATATAATATACTATTTTTAGCAACCAAACACAATAATATCTAATTCTGACTATAAGTGAATATGCTAAATTCATTTAGTTGTCCAATTATTTTTACATATATCATCACTTATTTTATTATAATTTACATTTTAATAGATAAAATGCATAGTTACATTATGTTTAATTTAAGATATTTTCGTAAAATTTGTAACTAAACTTATTTTTATTCTTTTAAAAGACTCCAATTCTATGTATAATAATGAATGTTTTAAATAGTGCTAAAAAAATTTTGATATTTCTTATTTAATGTAAGATAATTGTAATAAATATGCAGCTACAAATTTATAATCTCTTAAACGGATGGACTAGTCAAGTATTGCAAATTAAGTATTAATAATTTTTATTGCTACCTTTCAGAAGGTAGCGAATTTTCGACTTTTTACGGTTCGAATTTTTACGACAATTAATCCAATAATAGATTATCTTTACAGTTTCACTATGGAAGAAATGAAAATTAAATGTTACATGAGATAATTTTATGTAACAAATTATTTAAATCAATAGTCATATCATGTTTCAGCTATATTTAAATTTTTCTTTCATTTCAACTATATATATTTTTTTCTTTGTTGAGTCTATATGTTAGTTATGAAAAATATATATATTATGAATAATTATAAAAATCTTTAGAATAATAGTTTGTGCTCTAGTTTATTAAAATTGTTATTCTTACAAAAAATTTGCTTTTTATTAATAAATATTTTATTTCTCCAGAAATTAATTTTGATATAAAAATAATATCATCTGTCGTAATTTTGTATGTAATAACAAGAACGAAAAATCATTTAATTAATATAAAATTATTATTTTACTATCGTTTTGTATTTTTTTTTTTTTTTTTTTTTTTTTTTTTTTTTTTAATTGCATTATTCTAAATGACAGAGATTATTCTATATTTTATTATGGCCATAACAAATATTAAGGATATTTTTTTACTTTAATAATATTTAATTTAATGAATATTATATTTCTTTGATGATGATTAACTTAACAATACAATAAACGAACAGACAAATATTTCTAAAAATCCTATGAAATAATAAAATGTCTGTCATATGGCTATTAAAAACTTAGATTGAAAATATTAGAATCATAAAAATGTAAGGCTTAAAAGTCTCATTAAAATCTTTGCATAATACTGATATAATAATTAACTATAATTGTAATTAAATAACAATAAAGTAATTTATATATTGATGAAGATCATATATTAAAAAAAAAAAATTTTTTTAGATAATAATAATCAAATTTAATAATAAAACATATTTTATTTAGCAAAATTATTTAAGAATTGTACAATTTTCATTAAAATAAAAGAAAAGAGTTTAAATATTCTGGATTGAATTTCATTTACGTAATTAATTTAACTTGGTTGCTGCTGAATTACCCTTATAGTTTACTGAATCTCAAACAGCTATTTAAGAAAGCACAAATTAAGAAAGCTCCACTGACTGAGAAAATTTATAAATTCAGTTAAAAAATAACCTTTCTATTTAAATTATGCATAATAAATAATATTATTAATGCATATATATACTAACTATAAATGCTAGATTCATGATACTCTCGATTTTTTTATTAATTTTAAAAATAATTTATATCTCTATAAAAATTGACTACAGTTAATAAAGTCTGTAAATTATAATAAATTCTTTATACGTCGTCCTATTAATTATTAGGAGTTTCATCTTTTGAGACTTACAAAAGAAAATTGAAGTGACAAAAAATTAATAGTAGCAAATTAGTATTAACAATTATAGTAATAGCATTAAGTTGCTTGTACATTGGAGTGCATATGAATTTGAGTGAACATTTAGAAATTTAGAAATTTGAAGGATTTAAGTACATTTATGAAACGCGATAACTAAGTAGTACATATTAATTCTAACTACATTAAATTTAAGACTAAAGGTTATTCAATTTTCAACTTAAGATTTTTAAATATTATTCTATTAACATGAAAAACGGTTGAATAATTAATTAATAAATTAAACATATGTATTAATAAAAATATCACAACTTAATAATGTACTGAAAAAAGTACTTGTTTGAAAAAGATTAATATTATTTTTTTATTTATTGTTAAATGTAAGATTATAAGATTATAATGTAAGATTTAATCTTCATGTAATAAATTAAAATATTTTTTTTTTAATAGTCTTGGAAAAATATATCGAAAATATGATTAATATAGCATTATTACTAACGTATACGGCGATGTCTTCCTTGATCGGTCCTGGTATTCTCACTTTCTCCTTGTCCCGATCACGTTCATAAAGAGCCGGCGTGTCAGCAACTTGATACTCCCCGGCCAAGGTGATCTGCCTGTCCAAAGAAGATTAAAAACGCGCATCATTTTCTTTTCTTAGCTTTGTTTCATACTTTATTTTTCAATGCATTTTTAATTGATAAATTATTCCGGCTTAAGAATGGAAATTGTTACAATCATCATTGTGATAGAAAATTCACAAGAGAGTATATGGATTAAAGAGTTTACGTAAATGTCCACGGTTAGAGAACTAATTGCTCTGGTGATTAATTGATTAATAATATCTAATCATTAATAATTTAATAATTAGATGGAAAAAATGTATGAATAAGCAGTAATGCACTTGTGCATGAAATATATCTTTGAAACAAGAAAAAATTACATTATGCTTTTTTTATGTATATAAAGATATTATTTTTATCGTCAAATACATTAAGAATATGGAAATTATATTTTGTTTATTGCAGATTTCAAAAGCATAAAATCAGTCTTTAAATAAATAAACTACTAATTGTCTGATACATTACATAGTATACATACCGTTTCCCATTCAAAAAATATTCGTCTGCATCACGACGGCCAATACCAATATAATTCTTACTATTACCAACTTCCTCAATTTTTATATTCCTTGATCCTTCAGGAATAACGATAACTTCTCTGTATCCTAGTCCTTCATTTTTATCGTATAGTCCACGTATTGTGACACAATGTGTGCCATCTCCATGGCATATTCCGCATTGATCTTCTGTAGCGTTAGAGTCGACTATCCAATCGCAACCAACTTTCTACAAAAAGATATAATTATTTCTTAATAACCATGAATATAATGGTATAATGGTTTCGTAATGAGCACAAATATATTATAAATAAATATCAATTTATATAAACTGGTATATTACAAATATTTATAAAATTATTTTAAAAAGTAAATGGGCATTGAGCATGAGAAAAAGTAGTGTACAATATAATGATAATATAATAATAAAAGATGAAGATTTATTATTATGTATAAGGTGTAAAATTTATCAAGGTAAATAATTTTTCATTTTTGTTAAATTTTACTTTGTTAAGAAAACATTGAAATCATTTCTAAAATCTACGATGCATTAATTTCATCATTCTATATTGTATTTGTATACACTGTAAAAATATGTAATTAATAGCACTTTGCAATGCATATTCTATTACATTGCACAAGTACATATAATTTGTGATAAAATCATATAAAGCTAAATACCAGAATTTAATTGAAAAGTTAATTTCAGATTATAAATTTATTTTTACGATTAACGTAATTTATCATTCTTTAGCTATTGAATTTAATCTTTTGCATATATTAAGCATATTTTTTTCGAACAAATACATAAAATCATCACGATTAAATATTTAGTAACTAAAGAAATGAAGAAAATAATAATGTTATCTCCAATACGGGATATCATTATTATTATAATGTATAACTATAAAATTTATGTTTATAAACTACACATAGTTATCATGAGAAGTAAATATAATGGGGTTTAACGTTGATTTTAGAACGTCTGTTTCAGTAATTACTATACTGCATATATTAATAGATATTGTTATATCACATTCTAAATGAAATGCTAATCAACAGCAGATCTCTGCGTTGATTAGTATTGGTTGAAAAAATAAAGAATAAAACAAGACAAATCATGAGTCTTAAAATTTATTAAATTCATTCATGTCTTTCCATTCTACATGTTATATTATATTTATAAGTAAAATTTTTAAATAATATTACTTTGATATAAATTTTATTTTACACTAAAAAATTAAAATTTTTGTAGAAATTGTTAATTTAAAATAAAAAAGAATGTACAAACCTTTTTTAAAATATTGTTTTCTTAAAAATAATATTAAATTTTTAAAATAACCTTTCATATTTAAAATGAAATTAGTATAAATGATTAATTAAATTTACACACCAAATATACTTTATTTTATGTTAACGTCGGCATAATAATATTTTCATTTAATTTTATAATCTTTTCATGCATAATTATTATAATTTTTTTTTTTATTTTTTTTTTTTTTTTTTTTTTTTTTTTATAAACTAATTCGTAAATCAGATTTTAAAAGAAATTGATGGCAGTATAATATATTCTTCAGAAATATTTGATTAATCGCAGAATAAATACATAGAATAAACTGAAGTGTATGTAATAATTTATAATAAATAACATAAAATCGATAGCAATATAATTTCTTGTAATACTATTTACACAAGATTTATTAATGATATTTGTGACACATATGTGCATCTGTGCCGACCAATGCATGAGCAAAATTGTAACAATTATAACTAATATGAATAGAAAAATTAACATCAACTGTCTAAATTTGCAATTTACCTTACATATTCCAGCAATACACATATCTCTTGTACCGACATTACAAGGTGTTCCATCAAGAGCAGCTTCACCCCACGGTACGATCACGCTTTCCTCGGTGTCTGTGCAGTATAATTCGCAAGGCTCGGCTGCATGAGCAAGTGCGTAAGTGGAATAGGAGGACATTAAGTATATGACGAAAACAAACCGAAAAATAGAAAGAAAATGGATGGGAGGGACGTGGAGGGTTCGATGGGAGAGAGAATAATGGGGAAAGCAAAATGTAAATTATGAATTGTTATTTGGTATAGCCTAAATACATTTAGATGTATTTGAATATATAAGTTATTCAACAGAGCACACATTGTAAGACAATAATAAACTTGAAATATATGCTACATTTTCTGGATAAGTTTTTGAATAAAAGAGCAACTAATTCAAATGTATAGGAATATTAAAATTTACAACATACACTATATATAAATAAATTGATTATTCTTATATATATATATATATATATATATATATATATATAATTTATATTTTGTTATTATATATATAATTATATTTGTTATTATTTGTTATTAATTTGTTATTATATATATAAATTATATATATATATATATATATATATATATATATATAAGAATAATCAATTTATTTATATATAGTGTATGTTGTAAATTTTAATATTCCTATACATTTGAATTAGTTGCTCTTTTATTCAAAAACTTATCCAGAAAATGTAGCATATATTTCAAGTTTATATACACTATACTGTCTCTACTTTATAACATATAAGCATATTTAAAAAAAAAATAGGATCGTATATAATTAGTTTTTAATTATTTATACGAATAATAGACTATTACTCATATATTAAAGGATGGAAAGACTAAACATAAAACTTTAGAAAATATAATTTAAATGTAAATTACATTATTTATTTATTCATATTGGTTAAGAAAATATAGTTATCTATTCGAGAAACAAACATTAGAGCAGCAAAAAAGGAATAGCCAAGTTATAGATTAAGCGCTCACTTTGATCGAAGTATGGTCGCCAGGTATAATTTTTGCCTTTGTACTGTTTGTCGTTATAGTCACTGCATTGCACACTTCGAAAGCTCGGAGCCCCATCCGGACAAGTTTGCGTATTACAGATCTTGTATCGACGTCTCTTACCGATACAGAATTTGCCGCCGTTGGCTGGCTCCGGATGGTTACACTTTCGCTCAAGTATGGAAACACCAGCACCGCAACTACGTGAGCATTCGCTCCACTCGCTCCACTCACCCCAGCTGCCGTCGATCTGACTTGGCCGATCGACAATCGGCACGCACTCCTGATTCTGACACCACTACCGGCAGAAAGTGTTCGTTAGAACGATTAATTTTAAATGACTGCTAGACTCGTGCGAGGAATATGTATGCTCCTCCACAAGATAAATATCTGAAGACTATAGCATTATTTAAAATAATCAAAATAACTCAGAGACTATTAATATCACTTTAAAAGATTTCATAAATATTGACGACCCGTTAAGCCGTGTTTCAAATCATTTAACTGTTATAGAAAAACAATATTGAACTTCATAGTTGAAATTAATTTTTTGTTCAAGAATATTCAATAAATTTGCTCAATCCTAATATCTAATAATAATACCTTCGAAAAAGTCAAATCGAAATGCAAATCAAAACTCCTGTAAAAAAAATTGTGAAACAATTAAGTAATGCTTCGATATAACAGTAAAGATTATATTCTTTTACTCATCAGCTATTGATTTTTCAAATGACGCCAAGTACCTTTCGTTAGAATATAATTGATAATTTTTTTTTATTTTTTTTTTTAATTATTCATAAAATATGTGTACAAGCTAAAGAAATGCTTAATTTTGCGATCGTATCTTTTCGTGGATAAGATGTTGATATTATAGAACTATAAACAAATATAAAATATATCACAATAATCCATAAAATTATATCAAAAATATATTACAAACTAGAAAATAAATAAGATAATAAAGTTTTTTAACATAAAATTACAGAATTGTAATCATATACTCGGTATCTCATTTCAAAGAGAAAGAGAGTCTGTTTATGAAAATTTCTTCTATCATTCACGTAATACTTACATCATGATCAATAATAATATAAAGGCTGGAAAAATTTACTTTATTTTTATATAATTATATAGTACACAAACATTATATTATTTTATTAGAGGATTATTCTAAAACGCAACTTAAAGAATCAAATTTCGAAAGATATTAGAATATTGAATTCATCGTGGAATTACAATTTTGTCAAAACCGTGCATTTTTTACGAATACAATTTTCTTTTCCTAGTAAAAATAAGTATTTTAAATAGTTTCTATTAATTTTTTTTTTTTTTTTTCATACAACAATTAAATTTATTTTGCATAAACCATTGCGGATCGTTAAAAGTACGGACTATCTGTGAAACTTAACATGTTCAATTTTTGCATTTTACAAAAAATATAATTTATATTCCTGAATTGCATATGTGATGAGAGTAATGCAGATATTCAGATGTTTACTTTTCGTTAATGAAAAAAATTATCGAAGGAAATTTTTTCCTTACATTACCCTTTATTTAATTATGGACTACAAATTCAACAAAGTATTACACTTTTTCATTGGTGTGATTAAGTCTGCTACTATTATAATTGAAATTTCCTGGAAATTGTAGAAAATTTTAATTAAAATAATGTAAACAAATTTTTTTAATCATGGTCTCAATTTTTAATTAATAAAATAATATAATTATTATGTTCTTACATCGTATTGTAAAATTTTATTTTATTCGTATGCATACACATATAAAATATAGATGTAGATAATTATTAATTTAATAGCAAAAAGCATTTATGTAATTAAATTATATATGAATACATTAGTCAAATTTTATAAATAGAAAGGAATTTATTACAAAATATTCGTATTACACGGTGTACCTTTTAAATCTTTTCTACCTAATAAGTGTGTAGATATTTTTGAAAACATAGAAAGCGATAGAATATATTTCCAATAAGTTTTTGAAAAATTTATAGTATACTTGAATTGTAATTTTTTCTAATTAATAAAATTAAAAATAAATAATATCTCAAAGTAAAAGTTTAATATTTATTATTTTATTGGGCGAACCATATGTTTTCCGCAATGAGTACCAGGAGCTGCAGGATGCAACATCGTAGTACAAACTCCGTCGACGATGCACCACAGTTTTGAACAAATCTAGGCATATGCAAAAATATTTCATAGATCTCATGTATTATCATTTTTGTTAAATTTAATGTATTAATAATATATAATAATTCTTTTAAGCCTCGATTGTAATAATGAAACAAATAATTTTAATTCAAGAAAAATCTTTAATTTCCTCAGAATTGTTATATTAATTCATATTAAATTAATTTCGATTTATTTAGAACTAAATTAATTTTTTTAATATATTTAACAATAAGATACAACTCTATTAGAAGTGCTATAATATACCTTATAAATACATGTAAATAATAGATTTAAATTTCATATTCTTTTCTTGCGATTAAAGTATACATATACAAGATTAAAAATATATGAGGTAAAAACGTGTATATATGATTTGCCATATAATTTTACCTCTTCTAAAGGCGAACAAACTGATGCTTCTCTAACTGCGAATTGAAGTCTGCATTGATGTTCTGCATTATACATTGTTCCAGGTGGCAAATCTGGATAAGCGTAATCATTATCTGCAGGTTCATCTTCAAGACACTCACCTTTTCCTTGACTGAAACACAATTACTTTAAAATAAATCATTTGTCGATATTAAATATATTGATACAATATAATTAAATAAACGCACAATATTTTTTTAATGTTATACATGAAAATAATATATATATATATATATATATATATATAAAGAATTTACAAAAGTACAGCATATGGCAAATATTATTGTTGATTATTCTAGGAATATTCTCGTGTAAAAATCAGAAAAATATATACATGTAGTTAAGATTCAATCAACTAAAAATATATGCTGAATTAAAGTTTATATAATTAACGAATGTTCAATCATTCTATATTTGTATTTGATGAATAATAAGTAACATAATTTTAAAGAATAATTTTATGATTGAGTGAAACTGAATTTCTTTAGAAAATCAATAATATAATATATCAAATACTAATTGAAATGGACTCAATGATATTAGTATGTACCAAACGTGCTGCGACGTACTCTAAGAAATTCGTGATGTCTCTTCTCGAACATCTAGACCAAGCAACACCAACGGTATCAGCCTCGAATGTTGGAGTCATCACGTGCAATTTATCGCCATCTCTTTTACTGCAACCTATTTTTTCGGTATCGTGGTACATACCAAAGCTGTAGAAATTTTTTTTTATGAAATTAACATAATTGTAAAGCTTAAATATATAAATTATTATGTCATAACATTGTTTTAAATTAATGATTATATTTTTTACACCTACTGGTCGAACTATGATATTCATAATATTAAAAAATATATTTATTTTGGCTCGCTTATATATATATATATATATTTACAATACGAATATTATAACTTTATAATATAGATTCAAAAAAAAAAAAAGCCAGAATAAATTGATAATTATGTAACCGTAGTTGAATCTTCATAAAACTGTACTTTTAATATTTTATTCATATGATAGTTTCTTCAGCCTGAAACTAAATTTTGAAACTTACTTATGACCCAATTCATGTGTAATTGTGTGAGCAAGAGTGATTCCGTTGTCTTCGTTGACGCTACAGCTACGATCAGGTTGACACATACCTGCAACGTGAGCCACACCTAAAGTGCTGCAAGGGGTATTCGCCCTGGAACAAATGTCCTCTCTAGTAACCAAAATAGCGACGTCGTGATGATTTGGATGAGAATCATCAGAAGGATTCAATTTCTGTTGCCACTTACAGAAATTGTACAGTGTTTTATCAGCGTTCACCGTGATGTTCAATCCTTGCTGAAAATGCAATATTAAGCTTAAAAAATTAATTATTTTCAAAAGTTGATGAAGTCTTAAGTATTTATATACCACAGAGTGATTTAAAAATTTAGATATAGCCAACGTGAAAAATTACTTTATAAATAGGTATATTTTAATATTCAAAACCCTCTTTGATTAATTAATTTATTCCATATTTATCAAAATTCATTATATATTCTTGAAATTCATATAAAATGACAAATTATACACATTATATATACTATCTATTTCATATATAATAAAAATAATGTTCTAGCATTATTAAGTACCACTATCTGCTTTTTATCCTAAAGCATTGTATTAAGAGTTTGAAAGTTGCTAATAAATTATGAAATTTCATATTTCTATTAGTTAACTATACTTTATTAGACGAATCTATAATAAAAAAAATAAAAACAAATTTTATGTTGAAATAATAAGTCGCAGATCATGTTCATAGCAATTGCCATTTCTTATGATGTAATATATATATATATATATATATATATATATATATATATTTATATAAAAAAGATAAGAAAATTTGAAATAAATAACAAAATACGAGCAAAGTAAACTTTTATGCTCGAATCACTTATATAATAAATATATTAGGTATGTTGTTCAATACTCGTACCTCGGCTTCATCCTCTTCCATTAGAATTATCCGTACAACAACAACATTGATAAAATTACCAATAGTTGGATCGAGGTAAAGTGCCGAAACCATATTCATAATTGTTAACAGATACGTTTCCACGTCGCCATCTTGATGAAATGCCATCATAGTCGTATCAGCAACGACGAGAGCCTCTACATGCCTCGCACGACTTACTGATCTCTTGAATCGCTGCCAGTTGATGCTTTTTCGATGTTGCTGCTCCTGTTGCTGTTGCTGGCGCATCAGCTGGCGGCGACGACCTCGACCCTGAACCTGCATGAGCCCAGGTTGAGTTTGCCACTCTAATAAAGTCTCTGTTAAACGCCGTGGTTCTGGAGAAAACAAATAAAATGATTATAAGATTGTTACTACGTGCATTCATTATTAGCAGTAGTGAAATTAAATTAAAAAAATAAAAACAAAAACAAAAAAAAACGACGTTTACGGCTGCGGCAATAGCCACGAGTAAATTTTATACATTATTTTTAA